TATATGTGGATTTTAGTAGGTATTATAGATTTAAATAGAGACCCCAAATTTCAGCATCAGCTGCGACAATTATTTAAAAAATTTTGGTACAAAACTTACTCACTATTTTGGTGATTACAAATAATACTGAATTAGTTTGCATTAAATAAATATATTCATAAGTTACTGAAAGAACTCTATTATAGACTTACTTTCTATTTTAATTAAGGTGAGTCTATATTAGAACTATTATATTTTTTATCATTAATTAATATAAATAAAATTTTGTTACAGAACTTATTCATTATTCTGGTAAACATATTATTTAGTTAAGTTTGAGTGGCTTACATTAAATTGTCATGATTCCTATCGTGAGTTATTGTAAAATAATTCTGTTATAGAACTTACTTGCTATTTTGATAGCTATACAGATCACCTTCATTATAACGGACTCTGATATAGGGGATATCTCGTTATAACAGAGTAATTCTTTGGATTGTTATTTCTAAACTATACTCTAATGTGTGGTTAAGATGTGTTAGTTTGTAATATAATTGTTATGATTTCTATTATAAGTAATTGCAAATAATTTATTACTAACTTACTCACTATTCTGGTACGTGTTTAAATAGGTTAGTTAACATTGAAATTATCGTGATTTCTATCATTTGTTACTTAAAAAATTCTATTAGAAATCCTACTCACTATTCCATAAGTTAGTTCGTATTGGGATGGTTGTGATTTATGTAAATAATTCTGTTACAGAAAATACTTGCAATTTCGGTAACCACAATAAGGGTTTAAAATGAGTTAGTTTGCATTTATCATAATATGATTTGTTATGAGCTACTGAAAAAATTCTGTTATAGGATTTATCCCCTATTTCAAATAAGATAAGTTAATTTGCACTAGAATTATCATGATTCTATAGAGTGCCACTGCAAACAAAATTCTGTTACAGAACTTACTCACTATTCTGGTGATCATAATATGCGATTAAATTTGAGTTAGCTTGCATTAGAATGTTATGCTTTAATTGTAAGTTCTTGTAAATAATTCTGTTACATACTTACTATTCCAATAATACAATGTGTGATTAAGATCATTGGAATTGCCATGATTTATATTGTAGGTTACTGCAAATAATTTTGTTACAAATTCACTTGCTATTCCATTGACTATAATATGTGGTTAAGATGAGTTGGTTTGTATTAGAATTGAGCTATTTAAAAAATTTTAGTACAGTACTTACTCGCTATTCTGGTGACCAAAATATGTGGTTAAAATTAAATAATTTGCATTTGAATTATCATATTTCCATTGCAGTTTGTATTTGAATTGTTGTGGTTTCTATTATGAATTACAGTGAATTATTCTGTTACATAACTTGCTATTCTGGTGGCTACAATATATGGTTAATGCGAGTTAGTTTGCATTGTAATTAACATGATTTCAATCATAAGCGACTGAAAATCCTGTTACGGAACTTACAATTTTGATAACTACAATATGTCGTTAAGGTGAGTTAGTTTACTTTGGAATAATCTTAATTTCTATTGTGAGTATTACTGTTACAGAACTTATTATCTCGGTGATTTTTATCGTTAGTACTATCAATATTCTGTTGCAAGCCTATTATTATTATTTTGACACAGCATGCGGTTCACTATTAGCGTTATCTATACCTCAGTTAATAATATCTAATATATGTAGAATTCATAATGTACGAAAGTTGAATTTTAAAAATTCATAAATAGATATTGAGATTCGATATTATCTTGTAGAAGACTGTAAATGTCATAACTTTGGATGTCTTGATTTTCACGATATACCGTATTTTTACAATAAAGTTTGGCATATATTTAGTAAACACGATTAAACCCTCTTAAGAATGGATTCCGGAGCCAAGACATTCAATTTCTTTAAACTTCTAGCGAAGATTTCTCAGTAACCATTCGATCAAATCTTTTTTTATTTTGTTTCTATATATTTGTAAAATTAAAATAAAAAACAGTTCATTAAATTTGGTTTAATGGTTGTCGAGAAACCTTCTCTAGAACTTGGAAAAAAAAATCTAAAATCGGCAAATTTTTCTTTTTAAAATCTTTAAACGATGCTTTCTTAACACCCATATATCCAAATTCAATTAAATTTTTGGGAATTTACATATAAGGGTTCAAATATGAAAATAATTACAAATAAGGGCCCAAAGTGAAAATAATTGCATATAAAGGCCCAAACTTTGAAAATTTTACAATTAAGAGCCAAAATAACGATGATAGTGGTTCTTCGAACGTTATAATTGTATATATGTATTGATTTACTTTAACTTTCGTTTAATGAACTTTCTTTTAACCAAAAACGATTCGATTAGGTTAAATACGACATATATTGATAATGTAATGTTTATACTGTTCTAAACTAATATGCTTATTCTATCGCTATACCAAGCTAGTGAATCAATATTTTGTGAAGGTTACTATGCATTAATACAAGATATTTAAAACCGAAGAAGCTCATTTTTATTTGTAGAGAAAGTTAAATTACTTTAAAATCGACAAAAGTGGTTATAATTTTTGCATGAAAGACTGAAAAAATAAATGCAATACTGATTAAAAAGTAATCGGCTAAATGTCAAAAAGCAATTACATTTATATACAGTAATTTTATATGCTAAAAATTTGCAATCTCAATTATAATATTTTCAAAATTTTGGCCCTTATATGCAACTATTTTCACTTTTGGACCTTGCTAAAATCGTTCATTTTTGCGATAGCGGGAAAATATTCCAAATTTAGTGTATATTATTAATAATATAGGTCACAAAGAGAAAATTCTCATAGCAAATCGCAAATTTAGGCAAATTTCGTTTCTTACTAGCACTATTGACCTTTAACGAGGTTTTTTGACGGAGTACTAATTTTTATATTTCGTCAAAAACTTCGTTGCGAGTGCATTGGGAAGAATGTAGTAACTCATAGGATGAGAAAAATGTAGTCGGAACGGGTCTGAGGGTAAATTTATTAGTAAGAAAATAGTTTAACGAATCAATTTTATTGATTATTCCAATGAATAAAACACGCAACGAAAGTTTAATACGTCGGAAGGAAAAACTTTATTAGCGGAAGTTCGTTTGACCGACCAAGGGTATTTATCATTCCAATAAACAAGAGATAGAGGCCCGGACGTCCTTTTTTATCATGGAGTTGCGTTTATTGGTCAAAATTTTTCATTGATTGATTAGAAAAAATAAATGTTTATCTTTTTACATCATTGTTATGGATCTTCAAAATCATTGACGGGCTATTATTATCTAATTACTTATGCCAAAAATATTCGCCGCAAATAAAAAAGGCACGTTTTTGTGTTCTTTTGGTTCGTAGTAAATTCTGAAAAAGAAGTAACAGAATTTGGAAGTGTCGTAGATTCTTTATTCTTTCGTTGATCATCGTTTTCATTAATTTATTTTTTTTTATTTTTTATTTTTTTTATAATTGCTAAATGGTAGTAATGATAAAGACGTTTGCTCAAGCATCAATTGCAACCAATATTTTAATTCTGTAATTAATCATAATTCTTGAGCACTAACACGATCATAAATTAATCCATTGTTGAAGATACAATTGTCCATACTATCGGTTCTCAAAAATGGTCTAATTAATAATGGCATAATGGTTGTGCACCATTTCAATCAATACAAATTACATCGAGAGTGCTGCTTGAGAACACCCAAAGTATGCCTTTTCATGCTAATAAATAACAATTTCATGATAACCTTGAATTCTAATTAATAAAACTCTGATCTTAAAACTGACCCATGAGCTGAAGTGCGGCTGGAGCTAAGTAATTGCTCTCCCAACCAACTGTGACACCATAGTACATGCCGAAAACGTGCAACATAAATTCCCAATTATCTTTTACATTGGCAATAATAACAACTATAATACTAAAATTTAATAGACTGTATATTTAAAATAAGTCAAAGAAAAAAATAAACTCAGAATTGAGCATGATTTAGCCACTGTACATAAGTGCACATGATTTCTTGGCGTTATTTCTATACAAAGAAGTTGGGAATTCTAGTTCCTATTGAGATTGATAATTTAAGAATTTGATTTACAATGTGCTACCAGTTTATGCATTATCTTTTTTATAGAGGAAATGAGGCTTGCATAGTACCTCCTGTATCAAATTTACTCGCATTCTCATATAGTTATTAGAATTCAAAAGAAAATTAAAACAATAAATAATCAAGTGATATTGTTGTAATTTCCTTTTTTAAATTTCGCCACCCATCCCGATAATAAAAGTAAATTCTATAACGTCCCCAAGTTCCATAAAGGCGTATTTGTAACACCATTGTTGTCGTACCATTTAACAGCAAACTTTCAATTTTAATTGGATAACAGCTGTGATTTACGAAATTTTAACCCGCTTTACAACATACATAATTTTAATCAGAAATTAAAGTTTAAGTTTTCATTCTAAAAATAGAAAATTTTTGAGGCTCAGCCCTATTATAAAATTAGTCCAGGAATATTTTTTTACTTAGGGCAGCTGTGATTTTATTAGCGTTAGTATAATTTCGGCCGAAATTTTTGATCGCCGCTCTTAGACAATCATAACTGCAGCACTTTGAAGGTTACACACTAACGTTAGCAATGAAAATACGCCTGCCTGCATTATTAATGATATTAAATCAGGTAAGTTTAATAATTTTATAACTTCTGTGTACATTATTAATAATAATAAATCAGGTAAGTTTAATAATTTTATACGTAACATCCGTGAAAGAACTTTATTATATGAGTGAAATAAATAAACTAATATTTAAGTGACACCTATTTCTTAATAAAAACGTCGTTATCGCTCATTTTATCTCTTTATTCAACTTGAATATTAAATATAAATAGACATTGTTATCGTTCAGTTTATCGTTACCTTTAGCTTGCATATTAAAAACAAATAAATCTTTAGCTTGCATATTAAAAACAAATAAATCTTTAACTTTTATCGTCAAAATGAGCAACACTGAACAAAAAGCTCTTGCAACATTTAGTAGACTATTTCAACAAAACATTGAATTAATAAAAAAAGATACCGATATAAAAGCAGAAGTTGAAAAATTAAGAGAAGAAAATAAACAATTAAAAGAAGAAGTTGATAGTTTAAAAGAGCAACTTGAAAATGAAAAAGGGCAAATAAACCAAAAACTTGAAGAAGCGAAACGCCAACATGATGAAGATAAAGAAGCCTTGAAACAAGATCATGAAAATGAAAAAAATGAATTAAAAAAAACCCATGAAGATGCGATAAACCAACATACAACACAAAAAGATGAATTGAAACTAAATCATGATAAAGAAAAAGAAAACCTTGCAAAAGAACTTGAAGAATTAAAAGCAGCACTAAAAAGTAAAGAAAATGAAGCAAAAGGTTTAGAATCCCTTTCCGAGTTAGTTTCGCAAGTCGAAGCTCACCTTAATGTAACTAAAGTAGACTGAAAATATTTTAAAATATTTTTTACGAGTGTTTTTTTTTTATAATAAACAATAACTCAAAAACATTGTTCTTAACCCACCTGACCCATTTTCTTGAACCACCCTGGAAAAAAAAAATACACGTCTTTGACCCATATATCGTTATGACTGGTATGAGTTGCAAACTGATTTTTAGTTTGATATATAGTCTTTAAAGTTAATATATATTGGTTTAAACTTAAAGTTTGTACTAGTTAAGTACAAAAAAACAAAATTTACGCAACCAGAACTATATTTAAGCCGAAAAAATTACTAGTTTCAATTTTGTCTTAGCAGTTTTATATATAAAGAAAGAAATAAATAAATAAATAAAAGTTTTTTGGCTAACAAAAATAAGTAGATTGTATATTTAATAGAGCGAAATAGGTTTCATGTTGCGTAGTTCTTTAAATCTTATCGATCACATGGTCAAAAACGCATGTAGCATGAAGCATTGACAATAATGTTTAAGTTATGAATCACACAAAGTCTTTATTCATAAATGAGGGTGTGATTAATCTTCAGTCAAGGCGAATGAATGAGCATGATGGGAAATCCAGTTTGATTGGTCGTATCATCAAATTGTTTATGATTGGCTGATATATTATGAGTTATAATATTTGCCGCACGAAAAGTCTTTTTTCTGTACTATAACAATACCCCAGTTGTTCGTATAACCAACGGATATTTTTTACAAATACATTATTCAAGTTCTAAACCACTATTTAAAACTTTCGGATCACTATGAATCAAATAGAAAAACTTTGCAAAATTAACAAATTTTGAGGAATGCAAATACTTGGTAATAAAAAGCATTATTTAGTACTTTATAAGCTTTTAATTTGCTAAATTAGGAGTTCAGCACTTAATTAGTAAAATATTTTTAAATTTAGCATCAAATTATAAAATACTATAGCATTACTAGCTCTTAGGACCCGGCGTTGCTCGGGTTTGAGTTTCTAATTTTTTCTAATTCTTAGGTTTAAATATTTAAATTAGCTCTTAGAATCCAGTCATTGCCCCAGGTTCAGATTTCTAATTTTTTTTTTAATTCTTTATATTGTATTAGTGTATTAGTCTAGGACATAGGCATTGCCTAGGTTCTGAAATTAATTATCATTTTTTAAAAAAATTTAATTTATTTCTTTTAAATTATTATTTCTTTTTTTAAAAAATTATTGCTTTTTTTTTATTAAATTATCATATTTTTTATTTTTTTTTTATATTAAATTATTGCTTCTTTTTTTAAAAAAATTATCACCTTTTTTATTTTTATTTATTAAATTATTATGTGTTTAATATTTCTTTCTTTTTCTATTAAGTTATTATTTTTTAAAAAAAATTTATATTATACAGTATATTGGTTTTTAAATTAATTAAATTATTGTTTTTAGAGGTGTGGCGACTTAGTGTAGTGGTCTAGTCGTCACTCTCTCCAAGTGGCAGGTCTAGAGTTCAAATCCTACGG